CCCCAACTCCCCTATCAGCCCTGCTCTGTGAGTGACAGGGGGGAGCTCCTCACCCCACTGATCGGCCCTGCTCTGTGTGTGACAGAGTACAAAGCCCCAAGCCCCTTGATGGGCCCTGCTCTGTGTGTGACAGTGGGGAGCTCCTCAACCCACTGATCGGCCCTGCTCTGTGTGTGACAGTGGGGAGCTCCTCAACCCACTGATCGGCTCTGCTCTGTGTGTGAAAGAGTACAAAGCCCCAACACCCTTGATGGGCCCTGGTCTGTGTGTGACAGAGTACAAAGCCGCAACCCCCTTGATGGGCCCTGCTCTGTGCGTGATAGGGGCAGCGCCCCAACCCCCTGATCGGCCCTGCTCTGTGCGTGCCGGCCCCTGCTCTCACGGACTCGTTTCTTTGTAATAGTGCAATTTGGTTTGGTTTGGTTCAGGGCTCGTCGTATGTTTGGGAATTGTCAAAGGCCAATGCCGTTAGAGCCCCTTGGCGAAATAAAAATGTCCAGCTGATCACTTTTTATGATTGGGATAGTTTTAACCCTGAGAGCGCGCCTTCTGTGCGCGACCCCGGGACAGGACGACAGCAGCGACGGTGTCCACGCCGCGTCCTCTGTGTCCTGTGGTTAGTCATCGTGTTAGATCTGTGTACCCTAAATCAACGTATTACTTATACGTCATTAATACATCCAAGTATAGGAAACAGTCTTGCAAGACAGCTCGCTCACTCACCAACTATTTATTGAATGCCTCCTCTGCGAGACTGCGCTCGAGGGCAGGAAACGTTAGTGGGGATTTTTGTCTGTCTGCTTTTAAGGCCATTGCCTCCCGGCTGGTTGGTGCTGGCTGTGCTGGGGCTGAGGGGGGTTTGTGGAGACCAGGGCAGTCGCTGTGGCTGATGGACAGCGTGACGCGGGAGCCCTGGTGTGATTCTCACAACATGTCCTTCGAGAAGGGCTGGTCCTGGGAAGGAGGAAAGTACAACGGAGTAACACGCCTCTCCCTGTGAAGAGAGAAAACTGACATCTGAACAGGACTTTTCATTGGTTCCGATCTCTTGTAATTGCTTAGGAAACAGAGTCGTTCTTATTTTAGGGAAAAAATGACAGAAGCCGCTCAGTAAGATTCTATTTTCCGTTTCTGGTAGACACGCTGTATGATCCTACTTATGCGGAGTGCTATTCCCCACAGATCTGAGCAAACACTCTAAATAGCTGATGACAGAGCGGACGGCTGGGGGCCTTTCAGATGGTGGCAAACACTCTATATGATGTGCAATAAACATCCAAGATCTTGTTTTTTGGAAAGTCTTATTTATAAAATGCATTTTGTATGAGAGAGGTGATTGGTCCAGGGGGCATATTTTAATCAAGGCTCAAAACTGTGTTCATTTGCAGGACTTCTTTTCTTTTTTCAAACTTACATCTAGGGTTCGTTCTGGAAGCTGCCTTTTAAACTTCGGAACCAAATTGTTTCTTATTTGGAGGATAATGTACATGCGATGGTATGTTAAATAATAAAACTGTTCTAATCTGGTGCCATTTCCTGGGTCACAGCTGTGTTTTTGTGTTTCGAGCTATTTTCCCATGTTGCGTGTCAATATGGTGTCTCACAGGAAGGCCTCGTCACCCACACATTCTGTGTTCTCTGTGTAACTGAATTTCACTTGTCCTATAAGCCAGAAACATCCAGTGGAAGTGTTTTCTGGGGGTTGGTTTTCTTTTCATTTTTGTGCTTAAAACGATTGCTTCCTTAAGACGGCCTCCGAAGCCTCCGTGAGCATTGGTGCCAACACAGCAAGCAATCACTCCCCTCCGGTCTTCTCCAGCGTCTACCCGGAGTGCCAGGTTGATGATTCCTCAAACAGGTGCGTAGAAACTTGGAGCCCGGAGGTGTTTTTTATTTTATTTTATAATTGTATTGAATTGATTGGGGTGGCATTGGTTAATAAAATTACCCAGGTTTCAGGGGCACAGTTCCACGATACATCAGCTGTACACTGTATTGTGTGTTCACACCCAAAGCCAAGTCTCCTTCCATCACCATGTATCCCCACTTCACCTCCTCCACTTCCCCACCCCCCTTCCCTTTGGTCATCACCACATGCTGTCTGTGTCTATGAGGTTTATTTGGGGTTTTTTTGCTTTATTTCTTCACCGTCTTCCCCCAGCCCTCCAACACCTGCCCCTCTGATAGCTGTCAGTCTGTCTCTATGAGTCTGCTTCCATTTTGTTTGTTATTTTCTTTTGTGCATTAGACTCCATATTTTTTTTAAAAATGATTTTTAAAAATATTTAATACATCA